CCCCCGCCTCCCTATTTTCTAAATGTTTTTAAGTCAGGTGTTTGGAAACCAATATGCATTTTCCATGTGAATATGAAGTAAGTGCTGTTATTACCCCATCTCGTGGTTGAGAAATCTGAGGCATAGGTTAAGTAACTATGCTTAGGTCCTGATTCCAAGACATATATACCTAACCACTACACTAAATTCCACTGTGTAGACAGGCCACAAAACCTTGGTAAGTCATCTAGTTCTGACTTAAAGTATTTTATAAAAAGGAAGGACTACAATGAAAGACACCTATCTTACACAAGAACAGCTACATTTAGAGTCTAGATTGACCTCTTAGCTTTTTAGATTGTTCACTCAATTACATCTGTTCTCTGCTGGGTCTTTCTGCTTTCAGCAGCCTATCTGCTTTCTTCCCACCCATCAGTCTCCCAATTTTCTTGCTATCCTTCCCTCTCCAGCTAAGATTCCGTGGTCCATCATTTCAACCACTCACTTGCCAGTGTATTAGATGCTCTTGCTGTTTGTCCTTCCATTGCCCATTCTGTGAAATTGCAACCCTGGATGAGTATAACTATTTGTATCTTCTGCATACTGTACCCGGGCTGCTGAGTTCTGTGTGTAGGTGTATTGATGGTAGCCATTCTGGCAGGTGTAAGGTGATACCTCATTGTCTGATGATTAGTGACACTGAGCATGTTTTCATTTGTCTCTTGGCCATTTGTATGTCCTCTTTGGAGAAGTGTCTGTTCAGGTCCTCTGCCCATTTTTTAATTGGATTGTTTGTCTTCCTTTTGTCGAGTTGTAGGAGTACTGTATATATTTTAGAAATTAACCCCTTATCGGATGCATCATTGACAAATATGTTCTCCCGTATGGTGGGTTCCCTTTTCATTTTGATGCTGATTTCTTTCTTTCTTTTTTCTAAAGGCTTGTGAGGAGCTGCAACTGCCTGCGATATTTTATTTCTTTTTTAAAATATATTTTATTGATTTTTTTTTTTACAGAGAGGAAGGGAGAGGGATCGAGAGAAACATCGATGAGAGAGAAACATCAATCAGCTACCTCCTGCACACCTCCCGCTGGGGATGTGCTCGCAACCAAGGTACATGCCCGGGAATCGAACCCAGGACTCCTCAGTCCGCAGGCTGACACTCTATCCACTGAGCCAAACCAGTTAGGGCTCTTTTGTTGTTTTAATAAGGAGTGCCATTCATTGTACCTTATTTGCTATACTAGGAAATGCTGGTTTTATAAAATCAAGGTGAAACTTCCCACTTCTTTGGGTTTGATAGGAGAGGAGAAATCCCAGGAAAGAAGAAAAGAGCAATCAGTGTATTCAGTTTGTGGCTCTGTGGAGTAAGTGGTAGATGTGTCAGCACCATCCCCAACTCCTGCGTGCGAGTTGCAGTAATGGGGCGGGGAGGAGGAGCAGAAGGCAGAGTAGTCAATGTGTCCTCAGACATGCAAGATGAGTTTTCATCTTTCATTTCTTATTTACACCTTATAGCAAATCAACCAGCAATTTTTTTAATATTAATGAGAAAAAACAGGATCCTGATTACACTTGGAACATGGCAGGATGTGGGATTTCTTATAGGTAAGATGTTTGTTGCATAGGAGAATATCAACATTGGATTGTAAAGTACTTTTTATTCTATGAACTCAGTAACTATTAATTATATACTGTACTAAAAGGAAAATAATTCATTGGGCTTAGAAATAAAGCACTAACTGCAGAAAATTAAATCTAATAACACAGAGGGCTTAAGACGGAGAAAGTACATTTCAAAACTTTTACAGTGGCTCTAGCTGGTTTGGCTCAGTGGGCAGAGCGTCGGCCTGCAGACCAAAGGGTCCAGGGTTTGATTCTGGTCAAGGGAAAGTACCTAGGTTGCAGGCGCCTCCCTGGGCCCTGGTAGGGGCGTGTGCAGGAGGCAACCAATTGACGTGTTTCTCTTACATCGATATTTCTCTTTGTCTCTCTTCCATTCTCTCTTAAAAAAAAAAAAAAGTCAATGGAAATATATCCTCAGGTGAGGATTAAAAAAGAAGAAAAAAAATTTTACAGTGAAAACTGCAATGGTTTCTCCCACATCAATATTTCTCTTTGTCTCTCTTCCATTCTCTCTTCAAAAAAATGGAAATATATCCTCAGGTGAGGATTAAAAAAGAAAAAAAAAAGTTTTTACAGTGAAAAGTGCAATGGGTAAAGGGTGAACAGCATGTTCCAAGCGGGTCATTCTGAGTTGGAGATGAGGATTTCCAATCTAGGATTTCCAGTCAAGGTGTAGCAAAAGCAAAATGTGTAACCTAGCTGCTCTGTAGTTAATTTAAGGCAGAGTAAAAGATTAGCGGAACAGAGGCGACAGACTTTTAAGGCAGTCATCAGTCAAATGTAAGGTCACAACGGTGCGGATGCTGAAGTCAATGGCACGGAGGATGGGAGCTCAGTGAGCCAGGTCTCAGGTGGGTCCAGGCAAGATGACCAGCCGTGCAGAACTGCAGTGGCCATGGGCGGGGACTAGGTGCTCCAGGCCTGGGTGGATGGGTCAGGAGGAGTTTCAAGCCGGGACCTGGAGCCATGGGATGGGATCCTCCAACGCCAGTCACACCAGGATGAGGCTGAATTCAGCAGGCGTAAAATCAGAAGGGGCATTTTCATGGGAGGGTCGAGAGGAAGTTTGTTTATTGGAAATTTTCGTTTACCCTTCTGCTAAGTGCTTAAGTCTTCGCCCATTTCTCCGGGTTGTGAAAGAGCTCAGAGGAGTGGCATGAGGTTATGGCGGTAAAGGGAACACGGTAAAGGACAGTGGGTAATGATGGGTGCAGAGGTGGAAGAGGTTCAGGCAGTGATGGGACATGTTGAAGGCCTGCTAGAGAGGATTTTGAGGTTAAAAAATGAGGAACAAAGCAGCATGCAAGAAGGTTCTGATTCTGTAGGCAACTGGGGAAGTTATTTTCCTAAACAACAAAAGGAAGGGATACATTCCCACAGTCCAGCTGCTGTGCTTTAACGCTGATCTAAACAAAGGCCCGTGGGCCGAGGAACCGTTGAACAGCCGAGGCTGGTCTGAGGTCCACTGGTCGTTTCCAACACAAGCCACCACCCTTTAGACACCACAGGTAGCCTCAGCCTGAACGAGTGCGAGTGGCTGGCTAAACTACTCTCTGAGTTCTCCAGGTAGATCCCTGTGTGTTTTTTTCTGGTATCAGTAAAACAGAAACAAAAACAAACAAAACAAAACAAAAAAAGGGGGGGGAGGATGCCTTGAAGGAATATATTTAGGAGCAGGAGAAGAAAACAGGGACTAATCTTGTGAGGCAGGCATAAGGGAATCATAAAGAAGAAGAATAGAGAAGACAGTGGAAGCGTAAGGCATTGCCTGTTTCCTCCGGTGTGACTGCAGCTCTGCATTCCCTACGTATGTGGCAGGTGCAGTTCGGAGCGAAGGTCAGGAGTTATGACTTGATTCCTGACTCTGGAGTCTGACTTTAGTCTCCACCTTCCTAAAGGAGTGAAGAGATGTGCTTTGTTTACTTGCTTCTCTTCCTTACAGTTCCACTTGTTCTGAGGACTGGAATGAGGAAACCATGAGAGAAAAATAAACACCAGCAAGAGTACTGCACCCTGCTCTCTCCCGGCAGCACTTGGCACAGGATTACAGAACCTCGTTAGGTCATCAAACGCTGTAAGGAAAACCCCTGCAGATTTCGATTTATAAGTCCTCACTGTACGCTCTGAAAAGAATATGTATTCTTCGAGAAACACAAAGGCAGTGTTGAAACGAATGGCTAACTGGAAAGAAAGCCTATTGTTTCTCCTTCAAAGAAAAGAAGCCGCAGTAATATTTAAAGTGCCCTAGTGCCATACAATTACACAGAAATACACTAATAGTGGCAGAGAGTATCCTGACGTAGAGTACACAGAAATGCCAAAAAGCAAAACCTGCCTTAACACCATCAAGTTCCTTTCATGAAATGTGCACTTTTAAAAAATTTGTAAACAAATAGATGGGTGAGAAAAGAGGAAATGAAATTTCTTCTTTTATGGAATTATTCTTTTGGTTTCTAATCTTCTCATGAAATGAAATGGATTTCAATATGTGTGAGCCCAAAAATATGTTAATGGACTTTACCTGCATTAAGCCTCTCAGGCTAATATTATTGATTAGGATAAAAACATAAAACAATAACATCATGAAAAGAAAGTCAGTTATGATTTCCCGTCTCAGTTAAGAGAACTATCATGTCATCATAACTTGGTGAATATAATATGGAATTAAGCCAGCATATTTTAATATGTTCTTCTCTGCCATCAGTGTTTAGAATGACTGAGTAAATGTAATTTCTGCAACTGGGAGTTGAAGCCATGGGCTGATTAGTGTCTACCCTGAGCCTGACGCAGGAACTCCATCATGTTGGGGTGGGTGCTGGGTTACCTGGTGTGACGGTATCTGTACCTAGAAAAGCCCAGGCAAGTCCTTGATATCAGAGTTTGAGCCAGTCATGGAGTAGTTTTTACTACACTAACCTTTGACACACACAAATATTTATACTTTGGACAAATATTAAATATTATCTAAAGGTAATGGAGAGTGACCAAAGCATGCAGAAACTGGAGGGGAGTTCACTCTGGTAAGAAGGGAATCATATTTTTAACTCTTTTCAACTTAGGACAGACCCCCAGGCAATGCCACTGAGAGTAATTAAAACTCATGGAAACCTCAAGTTTTACTAGTGGAGGAATCGGAGGACAGAGTTCAGAGTGACCAAAGAATCTGGAAAGGGAGGAGGAATTGCTGAAAAGGGGAGACCTAGAGGGCGCCCACACTGCCCCAATCTCCTGCTGATCTCTGAACCCCACAGCCTTGGGGCAGACTCCAAGCAGCTCGGCCTAAACAGAGAGCTGCGTAGAGATTTCCTTTTGCCCACCGTAGGGGAGACAGGACTTAGAGCGTGAGCTCAACCAAGTTAACTGCCTGTCACACAAACAATTATTCAGAGCAACAAAACAGAGTCCACTGTTTCTATAATGCATTATTTATAATGTCCAGAATACAATCTAATTACCAGACATATGAAGAAACACACTCAAAAGAAAAGGCAATCACTGGAGAACGATCCCCAGATGACCCGGATGTTGGAGTTGGTGGACAAGGATTTAAAAAAAAAATTCCCTTTATTGTTGGAAGTTATACAGAAGCACCCTTTGTCCCCCCATTGACACCTTCTAGCTCCGGCGCTTCGCCTACCCCTCCCCCCACCTCCCGCCCCAGGCCTTTACTACACTATTATCTGTGTCATGGATTATGTGTACAGGCATATACATTCTTTGGCTAATCTCTTCCCATCCATCCACCCACCCACCCACTCACCCACCAACCACCACAATCCCTCTGAGATTCATCTGTCTGCTCCATGCTTCTATGTCTCTGGATCTATTTTGTTCATCAGTTTATTTTCTTTAGATTCCACGTAAGAGTGAGAACATGTGATACTTGTCTTTTTCTTTGGTTAGTGCTTTTATTGTAGATAACCTTTTAAATAATTATAGTTGACATACAGTATTTCATTAGTTTCAGGTGTACAACATAGTGATTCTATTATTTTTATACATTACAAAATGATCACCATGATGTGTAGTTACCATGTCACCATATGACGTTATTATATTACTGACTGTATTCCTTGTACTGTACATTACATCCTTGTGACTTATTTATAACTGAAATTTTGTACCTTTTATTACCCTTCACCCATTTCACCTGTCCTCCCTCCCCTGTTCCCTCTGGCAACCACCAGCCTGTTCTCTGTATCTATGATCTGTTTGCTTTGTGGTTTAGATACCACAGGTAAGTGAAATCATGCGATATTTGTCTTTCTCTGTATGACCTTCTTTTAGATAAGATTGGTAGACTGGTAAATCAGGAACATGCTTGGCCAGATCTCAAGTGCTTTAAACAAAATTTCTCCTTATTTCCTCATGCATAAGATGGAAAAATGTGGGCCGTGTGACAGTTTAGATGCATTCATTCTTGACCCCGGCCACTTCCCAAGACTGATCCCCGTGCTGTAAACGGGGGTTTGTAGGAAGTGCAATGATGGAAACTGGGAAGGAACATTTATCTGTCACCTACTTTTTTATTCATTTGTCCTCCTTTACTAGCTCATGAGTAAACTCCATGAGGACAGGCAATGCATATATTTTTAAAATATATTTTTATTGACTTCAGAGAGGAAGAGAGGAAGATAGAAACATCAATGATGAGAATCATTGATCGGTGGCTTCCTGCATGCCCCACACTGGGTTTGAGCCCACAACCCTGACACTCGACCACTGAGCCACACGAGCAGGGTGAGGGGGGCAGTGCATTTTTTAAACATGTATCTTCCTAGTTGCCAGGAATTCATTCTGTAATAGTTCTGCCACCTGGAATGGGGGCAGGAACTGGGGGAACACGAGGGTGAGCCCTGTGACAAGGGACCCGGGAATCACTATGTTCAGAAATTCAGACAGATGTTTGTTTCAGGGAAATCCATCAGCGGCAGACCATCTCAGGGACCAAGCTGCTGTGTGGGGAGCCAATATAGGGTTAAGCCTCGGACTGACCTGTTAGCAAAATCACAAACAAGTCTTAAACAACCCAATCCAAGAGGTGGCCGATGATTTACACTCGCTGTCATTTTAAAAAATAAAAATGGGGGAATTTGCCGGAAGCCGGTCCATCCTTGCTGCTTGACAGTCGCTGCAGGGAAGAAACATCTGCACAGCATATGTTTCAAGGGACCTGGCGTATATGGCATACTGTTCTTAATATGTTTGCTCCCCTTCTTAGCGCTATGTGTTTTAACCAAGGTCACCTCTCTGAGAAAGGTTGTTTCCCCAGGTGGGGATTTTTCCCTGGAGTTAGGGAGGGAATAAAACACCTTAACTAAGTGCCAGGCGGGTAGTTAATCACTTTAACTACGAACAATCACGCTTAAGCTACATAATCTTTACTTAGGATAATCTCCTTCAGTTACTTCATTGTATCTTAATAGAACAATAGAGTAACCTTGGAATGGAGATAAGAAACGCCCTAACCTTTGGAATAGAATGGATAGGATTAAAATCAACTGATATACAGATGTAACAGGACAATAAAAAAAAGAACCTAGCTATGATGATCGACTGAACACTGCCTCCATGTCATTATTTCTTTGCCAACTCCGTCCACACCTTTGGGAACCCCTGGACCTCCTGGGGCTGGACCCCAACACTGCTGCCGGAGAGGAGACTTCGTTTCTTCAGGGTAGTGTTTCTCCAAGTGAGGTTCAGATCACTTGCTTTAGAATTACCAGGAGTGCTTATTAAAATGTCAGTTTGGGGGCCCAACTCTAGACTTGCTATCTCTAAGGATGGGCCTTGGAAATCTATAGGTACCCTAAGTGATTCTTACGCATAGAAATGTTAACTATTGTTTAAGGGGTCAGAGATCTGGCAAAAGTAGAGACTAAAGGTCTCACAACCTTGGCAAGACTGGCATTTTGGGGTAGATAACTCTGTTGTGATGGCTGCTGTCCTGTGCATTGTGGGATGTCTAGCTACATCCCTTGTCTCAAACCCTCTAGTTCAGTGGTTCTCAACCTTCTGGCCCTTTAAATACAGTTCCTCATGTTGTGACCCAACCATAAAATTATTCTCGTTGCTACTTCATAACTGTAATGTTGCTACTGTTATGAATTATAATGTAAATATCTGATATGCAGGATGGTCTTAGGCGACCCCTGTGAAAGGGTTGTTCGACCGCCAAAGGGGTCGTGACCCACAGGTTGAGAACCGCTGCTCTAGTTGCTAGTAGCACCTCTTCTCCAAATGCGACAACCAAAACTATCTCCGAACGTTGCAAAATGTCCCCCGGGAGACAAAGCACCCCCTGGTCGAGAACCACTGCTTTGGAGGATCAGCGTAGCAAGCATGCTCCCCATCTGAGGGTCAGAAAAGAGAACACAGCTGGGGAATGTCTAGCTATTGGAACGGGAATGCTCAGTTCCGGCTCATCTACGGTGAGAGCTCCTTCCTAAGGGTGATACTGGCAGCTCAGCTACCTTGGTGAAGAAGGCCTTGCAACCACAGCTGGTGATGTAAATACAAAGGCCGAGAACCAGGCAGGGTACGGCAGCTTCGGCCAGGTCGCAATCCCGGCTGTGCACGGGCATCCACGTGGAACTGTGAACACCCAGAAACGTCAGTGCTTCTGAAGCAGAATTTCTAGGGACGTCCAGGCCCGATACACAACCTGGGTTAGACATCTGGAACACTGTTCAGAAGCTCAGAAAGAGGCTAGCTCCCCTCCCATCTCACAAGTGAGAGGAAAGCACTGCACCGATGTCCTGTGGCTAAACTGTCCAAAATAGGGGCTTTCCTCAATTTTACTTTTATCTTCTGTCCTGAGCCTACTTGCTCTTCTGTAAAGTTTCCTGTTCCCATTCTGTGGCCTAATGCCTGACTTCTCTCTGCCCAGCCCCCTTGTTTGGACATGTGTTTGGCTTTGTGTGACTTGGGCAACACTGAAGAGGTAGAATCAAAGCCTTGCTGGCTGATGGGACTGGCACTTTCCAACTTCCCTTTAAAGGTTCCCTGTGGGAAGGCACAGGACAGGAGTTGGCTGAAGGCGGCCACCCCTGCCTTGACTTTTCCAGACAAGTCTGAGCCCCCAGGTGTTTACTGGAATCGTTGTGTTTATTCCTCAGACGTCCTCACTTCAAGGACCCTGCAGATGCATGTGTCTTCTCAAGGATGCTTACCCTACTGATAGTACCTAATAGTTAATTTTATAAAGCCTGAGGAGGCAGGCGAATGGGGAGGTTTGGTTTCTCAAGCCAAGCAGTCCCTTAGCCCTCTCTTTCACAGAAACGTGTGTCAGAGTAACCATTCACTTGTCGCTCAGGGGCTGCTGGTCAGCCCTGGTAGTACCTAGTAGCATGTATTGGATCAGGTCACGTAGGGAAAGCAATAGGCGTAAAGCAGTAAGATAGATCCCACGAGCTGCACAAGAAACATCAGTTTCACAGAGCAGCACCCCTGCTTTATGACAGGAAATCAGAAAAGAAAAGAACTCTGTGGCACTTTAGCTGTGTACTCCAAGTTTCATTTCCATGTGAAACCCTGCAGTGAACTAGAAAGTACATCCACGGAGAAGCTCAGCTGAACTTGGTTAACCTTGGTAAAAGTTGCTACTAGTTTAGCAATAATTTCACAACAACCCAAGAACTCTATAAAAACACTTCCACTGATTATTTTATTCAGAAAAACAAACAAAAGACAGAGATAAAACCCCTGGTCATTTGCAGTATCTATCAGCTTTCAACTTGGCTCTCCTGTTTAAAAAGACAAATAATAAAAGTTAATCAATGTAAAACATTCCATATATAGTTAACTGCTATTAGATATAAACCCATGCTTAAAAACTGTTCTCAATTTTGGTTATTATATTACCACAGTTTATATTAAAATATTTTAATTAAAATTTTACTTTTCAATTTTATCCTATCCTATATAATAAAAGCCTAATAAGTGTCCGGTTGTCCGGTGGGCTGTTCAACTAATCAAAGTGTAACATGCTAATGATATGCTAAGGCCCCTCAACTGCTGGCTATGACGTGCACTGACCACCAGGGGGCAGACAGTCGACTGGTGACCAGTCGCTATGACATGCACTAACTGTCACGGGGTAGATGCTCCAATTGGTAGGTTAGCTTGCTGCTGGGGTCCGGCTGATCCGGACTGAGCAAGACAGGCCAGACACGCCCTGGAGCCCTCCCGTGGTCCTTCCCCAGCTGGCCAACCTCCTGTGTCCCTCCCTGGCCCTGATTGTGCACCAGTGGGGGTCCCCGGCCTGCACCCTCTCGCAATCTGGCACCCCTCGGGGGATGATGGAGAACCGGTTTTGGCCCGATCCTGCAGGCCAGGCCCAGGGATCCCACTGGTGCACGAATTCGTGCACCTGGCCTCTAGTGTTTCATACTGAATGGATTCTATTCTTATGAAAGTCCTTTCTTCATCTTTAACAAATGTGCCTAAGGGCTTTTTCAGTCCACATGAGCAATTTTAATTACCTCTGATTTTAAGCATGCCCAAACTTCTATTTAACAATGTAGTGATTTTGTTAAGTGATAAAAGTTACAGGGCATAGACTATAAACCTTATTCTATTTCTTCTGAGTCCATAACCTGACTATTTTTATACCTCATTCTTAATTTCTTAGAACTAGAAACTAGATGCTAATTTTCTTAGCTGGGAAAAATTCTTTCATCATTTACTGACTTCAGTTAATAACTTGATCAACTAGTTAGCAGGAAATACACTGTTTTTTTTATCAAGTAATACAAAGAAATGTCTTAAGACTAATTTTGCAACATTGGACTTGAATGAGTGGCATATTAGCAAATTCTTCTTTAATCTGGCACTTCTTTGATTTTAGTTGTTAAGCTCAAAGTTTAACCTCTCTACTCAGTTTTTAATGTTGTAAATCCAGAATATTACTTAACTAAATAGGAACAGTAATAAATATCAATAATGTGCTATGATAAAGATCCTGCACACTTCTGAATTTGACTTAATAAAAGTGCTTCAATTTCACTAATTTAATTTTATACTTAGTAATTTTTAAACTGACCTATATTTATCTCATTTTTAAGAACCTGTGCCACTCCAATAGAACTAACTGAATTTTGAAATGAATCAAATGACTTCTTTCTAGCCTGCTTCTAACAGTTATAAAAAGATGTTGTAAATAAATTTATTATGTAATTTCAGTGAAATCTGAATTTCTTACAACAAAATATATAAGTACTTGGAATCTGACTATATTTAGACAGTTTTTCTTGGCAATCTTTTCCCAGACTTACGATGTCCTTTTTAGGTAATATTACCATGTTCGCAAATTAGAAATAAAGGTAAATATTTGAAAACTACAAGTAATTCAAAAAGAACACTGGGCTCTAGACAGTTTGGCTCAGTGGACAGAGTATTTGGCCTGTGGTCCGAAGGGTCCCGGGTTCGATTCTGGTCAAGGGCACGTACTCAGTTGCAGGGCCCTGGTCGGGGCTCATGCAGGAGGCAACCAATCGATGTGTCTCCCACATCGATATTTCTCTCTGTCTTTCTCTCCCCTTTCCACTCTCTCTAAAAATCAATGGAAAAATATCCTTGAGTGGGGATTAAAAAGAAAAAGAACATTGGGTTTTATATTTGCCACTTCTACTGAGTACTTAATCATAGTTGGAAATAAGTAAAAATATACATACCTGTCCAGAAGTGTTTCATGCAAAAATCCATCTTTCCGGGCCTTTTTAAGAATTTTACTGTCTTCTTTACTTATTTTAAGTTTCTGGTCTTGGAAGCTCTGAAATTTCTTTCTGTTAAGAAAATACCTCTCTTGAAAAAATATCTCAAACTTTGATTATACCTGATTACTGATGCAATTACAAATATTTCTTAAGTTTTCATTTATTTAAAAAAACCTAATTACTGTATATTTCTTTAGTAACATACAGCTTTTCAAATACCAATGCTCTTAGTTAGTGCCCCCCAGTAAGAGGGCAGCTGCTTGGCAGCTCTACACGCCTCACCTCCACCATGGAATGCGGGCTGGAGTCCATGCCCTGGCTATGGAACAGTGTAGGGTTGCCAGTCTGTACTGACACGGTACAGCCATTCTGTTAATTAACAGGGAGGACACACAAGGCCAGGTGACTTAGCTTTGGAAGCGAGCAGGGTAATTAGGAAAACTGAAGGACTGTGAAAAAGAAAAGCATTGAGCTCAGTGCTTTGTCCTAGAGCAGTGATGGCGAACCTGTGACACGCGTGTCAGAGGTGACACTCGAACTCATTTTTTTGGTTGATTTTTCTTTGTTAAATGGCATTTAAACATATAAAATAAGTATCAAAAATATAAGTCTTTGTTTTACTATGGTTGCAAAGATCAAAAAATTTCTATATGTGACACGGCACCAGAGTTAAGTTAGGGTTTTTCAAAATGCTAACATGCCGAGCTCAAAAGGTTCGCCATCACTGTCCTAGAGTTTACATTATGCTGCCTCTTCCTGTCCTTCAGGTATTTTATTTTAGGCACCTTGAGAAGCACTTCACTGTCAGGTCTGTAGGTCTAAAAGGAAAAGACTACGTACACGTAATTGATTTCACACTGTTTAACATTTCCTTTGTCTTCCTCTGGGATGTCATCTTTTTTCTTAGTTTCTCTTTCAGCACAGGATCTAATCTGGACATTGGAAATGAGAACCCAGTAAGTTACACATTCATCTTCCCCCTTTCCCTCTTATCACACAAGAACAGTCTAGGTGATTTCTTATGCAAAAAGAAGGAAACCATTAACTTAGCAATTAGCTTCAGAAAAAGACAGGTTCTAGATATTGTTTTTATTTGCATATAGAATTTATATAAATCATTGCTATTATATGTTTCTCTAGAGCCTTGCATCAGAAACACTAAAGAGAAAATTACTTGAAAAACATTTTGCAGATCAGATTTTGCTAAACAAATAGGCAGTAATTTAATTTTGGCCTCAAAACAGGAGGACCAAATTATCCCTAGCAGATAGTGTGTATTTCATCACATTGAAAGCTTAAAATAGTATTTTACTTTGCATGGGCTATTACCAAATACATTCAAACTTTTAACTTAACACAATTTGTTTTTATCTAACCGGAATCTACCCCTTTTAAATACTTCTTATATTCTCTTAAGTTTTGACTGACATTTACTATCCATTGCCATAAATGAACAGAGACAGATACAGCAATTAAGATCTAAGTTTTAGACAAAAATTCTTGAGATTTTGGTGGAGAAAATACCTTTTGATAAAATTTTGGAAAATATTCTGAAATTTCTAATTTTTTGTGCTGTGTAGAGGGTATTTCTTTCTCCACCAACCAACTCCAAATAATGAAGTGAAGAGTTACTGGTATTATTCTTGTTTTAAAAGGTAAGTGATATTTTCAAAGGAAAAAAAATACTGAAAGATTAAAACTGAGTATTATGAAAGCCAAGAACATTTAAAAAGTAAAATCAAATATATAACATGAAGTTTAACACAAAGCACGTAGATACTTGATAGATGCATGTAAAGACTTTTATGTATTCATCAAAAGATCCAGAGTTTAACCCTACCAGACCCTGTACCGATTTTTAGGTAATTTCCACACAAAGGTGGAATATTGGCGCTAGATGAAAGGTAGACCTATTTTCTACAATGTCTCCAAGTTCCATCTTATTCTAACCACTTGTCTGCATGTAACTAACATTTTTCTATATCATGTTGGTTTTTTCTCTTTAATGCTCAGGAGCCCAGGTATAGGGGACAGTTAGGTTCAGGGCCTCAGGTCTGGTAGACTTAAGGGCAAGGGCTCTGAAAATTCTGTTAAGACTTTTATATTTTATACACTGACTAGCAACACGGATGATCAAGTATGAGACAACTCAAACAACCTAGTAACCTTCTCCTACATGTTGGTGGGAGTGTAGGTCAGTACAACCCCTATAGAGGTTACTTGGCAGTATGTAAACAACTATAAAGGTTTATAACCCTTGACCCTGTAACTATGCTTCTGGGAGCTTACCCTCGGATATACTTGCACACCCACAAAATGATGCACATTCAAAGTTATGTGCTGCAGCACTCCTTATAACAGCAAAAGACTGGAAATAACCTAAATTTCCATTTGTACAGAACTGATGAAATCAATTATGGTATACCCCTAAAATAGAATATTATGTAGCTATTAAAAAATGAGAGAGAGGAAGAAGAAAAACCAAAAGGAGAGGGAAAACTTTCAATGTAATGATAAGGGCAAAGCTCCAAAATACAATGTTAAGAAAGAAAAAAAAAATCAATGTGTAAACCAATGTATAAAGAAGGCTAACTTTAGTGTAAAAAAGTAGAAAATTACAAACATTTATATTTTTATTCAGAAACTCTAGAAGGCTGTAGAACAAGCATGTCAAACTCAAAGGCTAATACAGACCAAATAAATGAGGCATGTGGCCTGCAGGCTGCGAGTTTGACAGGCTTGCTGTAGAAGGATGGGAGATATATGTTTATATGTCAGCCATGGGCAAACTACGGCCCGCGGGCCGGATCGGCCCGTTTGAAATGAATAAAACTAAAAAAAAAAAAAAAGACCGTACCCTTTTATGTAATGATGTTTACTTTGAATTTATATTAGTTCACACAAACACTCCATCCATGCTTTTGTTCCGGCCCTCCAGTCCAGTTTAAGAACCCATTGTGGCCCTCGAGTCAAAAAGTTTGCCCACCCGTTATATGTGCTTGTATTTGAAAATTTTGGAATCATGTGCTCATATTTATTTATTTAAAATATTAAGTTTTAGCCTGGCCAGCTGGCTTAGCAGTTGGAACATCATCTGATGCACCAAGAAGGTCTTAGGTTTGATTTTCCCATCAGGGCACATACCTAGGTTGTGGGTTTGATCCTCAGTGTGGCTTATACAAGAAGCAACTAATCAATATTCTCTCTCTTTCAAATCAGTAAGCGTATCCTTGGATGAGGACTTAAAAACGTGGAAGTACTCAGAAAAAGATACTAATACATGGAGATAATAGCAAGGGAGCTTATACAGTATTTTCTCTTCCACAATGTGTAAACACGCCATCAGTTATGGGATTTATAACTAAAAACAAAGCTTATTTGGAGCACAGTATAAAAAGCAATGAAATAAGTCTTTCAAGTGAGAGTAAATAACTTTTCAACATTTTATTTTATTTTTTTACTTTTCAACATCTTAAAGAGATGTAGTCGTATCATATATGACATGTATTAATCTATAGAAAAATGTCATGATTACCTTTATCATTTCTTCTTCTCCTGCTGTTTTACTTTTTGCTTCTATATCACCTGCTTCATTGCATCTGATAAAGCAGCTATTTGAGGCCAATAAAGCCATTTTCCCCTAAATAAAATAACAATAAAAAATAGTTACGAGAATATCTGCAAAAGGAATCAGGAAAAAGAATTTGGAGAAAACCTGGAAAAAAAATACAGAAAACTAAAACCACCTATAACCTAATTATTTAAAGAAAACCACAATAAATATTTCTAGTATATTCTATTAGTAAGACTAACTTCTAACTAGATCAAATAGAATTATTTCCTTTGATCTAAAAGATCTATTGAGGATATTACTAATTTAGTTGAGTTTGAAAAAAATAGTAAACACAATAAAAATGATAACAATAATTTACTCAAACAGTTGTGCTTTAAGTAAAATTTTTCTCCATAAGACTGTATCATACAAAAGCTAGCTTTTGGGGCCTTTGAGTTTACTGTTCAGAACTTTAAGAATCAACGTCTGGGAGACCTTTGTGCATGGAAAGAAATATTCATATTCTTTTTCGTTGTTTATTTCTCAATGTATTATCTGATTCTGATAAACAAAACTTTGAAAACTAATTTTCCTGTGTATCTGAACCAAGATTATAAATTTGATTAATTAAATTTCCTTACATATATAAGGTTTAATCATAACTTGTATATAGTTGATTCTTTTAGAAAAATGAGTACCTTAAACATCAAACAAAATATCCACAAACATAATAATTACAAAAATGTATTAATAACCTTATAACCAGTTATGAAAGTGCTAATAACATGGATCTAATTTTTTACTCAAGATGACAAGGGCTGGGTTTTCTTTTTTCTTTAATATATTTTTGATTTCAGAAAGGAACAGAGAGAGAGATGGAAACCTCAATGATGAGAGAGAATTACTGATTGCCTGCCTCCTGTACGTCCCACACTGGTGATCGAGCCCAAACTCTGATTATGTGCCCTGACCGGGATTTGAACCGTGACCTCTTGGTTCATAGGTCGATGCTGAACCACTGAGCCACGCTGGCTGGGCAAGGGCTGGGTTTTCTGTCATCTGGATGACCCTGGGTGAGCTTGGATATGGTTGTATATTCCCAGGTGATTTAAACCTGTACTGCTGATCTTTTAGTTACTTTCTGCAATCCAGTTTTATTTGTTATATCAGGGACTTTTAAGTCTCTCTTTAATTTAAAATTTAAAGACTTTATGTCTTTCCCCCAAATAAAGTGAGATGAATGCCCCTTAAGTTCTGTATGAGCATTAGTATCTGACTCATCATCCTGACCTTATAAAACAGACTTTTCTGTTGATACATTTTTTATTATGAGCATCTCAGTATATTGGTAGGATCATCTATCTCCAAGGGGCTGTAACTCACTAGTAGTTCATGAAATGAATTTAGTGGGTCCTGACCAGTACTGAGGAAAAAATAAAGAGAGACAGAAACAGAGGCAGAATAGAAAAGATCAGAGTGCAAGCATGTAGATAAATAAGTACTGCCAAGTACAACTCTTGTTTCAGTTACACACGTGTGTACTAGGCTGCAATGTGCAATGGAAAATGTTTTTCTCATTGGAGTGAAAAATTTAGTGATCCAGAGGTTTTAATTCAGGGCAAGAAGGAACGAGTCTAAGTAATTATCTCTTTTTGGGGGGTGCTTGGCTAATTTATCATCATGGAAACATGTGGCTAGTGGCTACATTTTGGACAATGTAATTCTATATATACGTAACTTTATATTCTGCTTTTTATCGCAAGCATTATATTTTATATATTACTACTATATAGAAAACATTTTCCAAATTCATTCTTCTTCAAATATACTACTTTAATGGATATATGATGTTCTATTATAGATATTTTAAAGTTTATTTTTTCTACTATTATAAATAAGTGCTGCTGGTTATTTTCTGTGCATAAAATTGTTGATTTATCCTTAAAAGAGATTCCTTACATTGACAAGCTTTCTATAAACATTAATAGCACTTACATCTTGAAAGACTGGTTCCCATTGTTCTCTTGGTCCAATCGCATCTGAACGCCCAACAACAAGTCCATCTGAATTTATACCAAGGTATTTTCCATAGCCAGATTTTAGGGCAATTCTTCAGATTAATAAACAAGATAGATGTTAAAAACTGAGAGAAAGAAAATTAAATATGGAACATAAAAATAATGTGTATGTACATAAAAATTCAGACTAGCTATAGTTCAAATATTCAAAAGTCACAAATGATTAATGACTACCATATAGGAAAGTGTAGTTCTGTACATACAATGTCATATTCTACTTTTATTACAAGCATTATAGCTTATATCAGGGGTGGGCAACCTTTTTGTGAGTGCGTGCCAAAACCAGCAAAATCTCTGACTCAAAATTCTTCTGCGTGCCAACCCTAATTTTTTGAGAACATGTTACGCCTACTTGATATCTCTTAAGGTGTACGTATGTGAAGAACCTTGAAGAAATAATAAAATTCATTCGAGTGACAAGAACACAGTATATGATGATGAAAAATGCATTTTTTAAAAAATATATTTTATTGATTTTTTACAGAGAGGAAGGGAGAGAGATAGAGAGTTAGAAACATCGATGAGAGAGAAACATTGATCAGCTGCCTCCTGCACATCTCCTACTGGGGATGTGCCCGCAACCCAGGTACATGCCCTTGACCAGAATCGAACC